TTCGGCTTCTGGGAACTGCGACGTTCGAGGGGAAGCTTATGTCCGCTGGTGACTATAGCTATCATGCGACAGAATATGCAGGACCTAACTTTCGTATTGCCGGAGACGCGGGCGGTAGTCCAATTTCTTCAAACATTCTTACACGGCTCAAACTAACGCTTACCTCTTTAGCTTTCATCGACCCGTTCTTCTCGTCCGGTATCCACCTCGCACTTACCGGCGGATTGTCCGCAGCCAGTACCATTGCTGCCTCTATTCGAGGAAATTGTACTGAAGCAGAAGCTTGCGGTTTCCACAGCTCGAAAGTGGGAACTGCGTATACGCGGTATGAAAATTTCAAGGAATGTCCGCTCACCTTCTTATCGCTAAATATCCCAGCTTCCTTCTCGTTGTTCTCGGAGTTTACAAGCAGATAAGATCCCAGGAAACCGCTGTTCTGTATGAGGTCGATGAAGACAACTTTGACAAGGCGTTTCATTTTCTTAGACCCGGTAATTCTCAACAATCTCTACCATCCAAATTTTTTGAGCTGAGTTTCTCGGTCGCAGTTATTCAAGGATGTGCGGATGCAGATGAAGGCCTTACAGAGGCAGAGCTTCAGAGCACACTCGATTTCTGCAGAAACGTCTTCGCACCTACCCAGCCTGAAACTCATGAGGCCGCTATTCAGCGACTCGGCAGTTTGGCAGATCCAGATGGGCCTCTGCTTGATACAGATACTATTGACAAGCTCACCGGAACGGACATGGAAGCGAAGCATGCGCTGTGGAAAATCAATGCGCGCAAGCCACTACATTCTATGTATGACTGCAAGAGAAATTTCGGAACGGAGATCATCAACGGGTTCTATGTTATGATGGAACAAGGGGCGTTGGGTCTCGTGCGCACTTAGCGTCAATCTATTTCAAGTTGTAGGCTATAATGAAGAGCTATGTAAATTAAAGGAACCTATATCATACATTTACAGGGTCGCTTCTGTGTCTAGCTAGGACAAATCCGTCTTATATCTGGCGCCCTCGCGGGACTAGATTGCATCCATATGCACCCATATCTCTGTAGTTCCTGCAGAAGCACACGCTTAAGCTTATAATTAGATCAACGGCGGCCAGCCGTTGTGGAAGAACGGCCGATAAGGATGAACATTGTTCTGCTTTAATGAGATGAGGGAGGGTCTAATGCAGGGGGATAATTGGCCAACCGAATGAATACAGAAAGTTACATAAAGTTACATGATTCAGCAGACCGTAGTTGATTACAGGCAAGAATTCTTCGTATCCTTACTTGATCCTTACTCAGACTCCCTTACTGCACACCTCGCCTGTTTTGGACTAATCCACACAGGTTGCCATCATTGCCGGCACCGAGCCGAAATTCACATAGGATGCTTTGCTAATGAACTGGACCCGAGGGACTTCAAAGTCGCCGATGTAGATATGACTCTGGATCATGATTTGTTAACACGCCGAACAAGGATAGCCTGGAATCCCTGGAATGAGAATGGCAGTGTCGAGCGCTGATTTTCGGAGCATGATCCTAGGCCTGACCAGAGTGCAGAGATTTCAGCACCGGAGCTCCGCGAGTTCAAGAACGTGCTAGATCAGTGCTAGATTCATTCGGCGAAAGGGAGATACACTCAGATAGTAACGGTGAAGGTACTTTTAAGTTACTTCCCATTCTCAAAGGATGAACATGACCCCGGATCTTTTGGAAGACCCGGTGCCGCGAAGCCAATGGAGGTTTTTGACCTTATTTTGAACTCTGCGTGAGAATTTCGGAGGGCAACATGCATCACAAGTCCTTGATGATTTGATCAGGTAGATGAAGGAAGTATGCCTACCTTTTTTAGTCAATTACATTTGCTCACCTTCCAGTAATTCGAGAACAAGCGTCAATGGTCGTGCTGAGTCACCGATGTCCGGGAGAGATGGATAAGATCTCCCAATTTAACTGGCCAGTATTCGGCCGGCGGCAAGGAAGTCAATCTTATCTGATCGATCCGTCGGCGTCTGTCGGTCCAACTCCGTCTTCATGCCCACCATTTCCAATACACTTTCACAATTTTTTGCGACGCGTCGCACTCGAAAAATGCGTTTAGCCGGAACTAGTCTGTGTCTCCCCACCCCCCACCCATGATGTCCACAGAAGATGTGGAGAAAGATGATGCGGAGCAACATTTCAACAAGGATCCCCCTACTATGGCTGTCCACCCGGCTGAAAGAAGTAGCCTTCGGTCTGTGTTAATCGTGGCCACATGTACAATGGCGATGATTGTCAATGTAGGTCAATGGATGTCGTTTTCATTCAACGCCCTTCATACCGGTATTGATGTTCAATTATAGTCATCGAACAGTACCTCCGTATCGATATCCCTCCCCACCATAGGCGACGACCTCGGTATACCAGAAGCAAAGCTCAATTGGATTGTCTCTGCGTACCCACTAAGCTCCGTAAGCATTTACCTTTCATCCCAAGCTCCGCATTGAGCTTTTGATGTTTGGAACAGGGCTGTCTGCTGGTGATGTTTGGCAGGATAGCGGATTTGTACGGCCGAAAACGGACTTTTTGTGTTGGGTCGTTGTGGCTGGCTGCCTTCACATTGGGATGCTCATTTTCTAACGGTATATTTTTTTATTGAGTGCCACGACGGATGATTTATTATCCACTAGACGAGATAACGCTTGATGTACTGAGAGGACTACAGGGTGTTGGAGCTGCCGCCACAATACCTGCCTCTGTATGCTTCCCGTAATCCATTTTTAAGCCGAATTATTGCTAATCCTGCTACGCAGATTGGTATCCTCGCACATGCCTTTCCACCATCACGGACTCGCTCAATTGCGTTCGCCACTTTCGCTGCAGGAGCACCACTAGGCGGTGCTTTCGGACTAGCTATTGGTGGCGTACTAACACAGCTCACCAAGTGCGTGTACCGACCTTGCCTTTATTTCCACCCATTGACAATATCGCGTATCAACCTAGACAGTCGTGGCGTTCGCCCTTTTACCTCACTGCGGTAGGAGATGCCAGTCTCATTTCTAGACCATACGGTTGCTCACTTGCTTTTGACGGTCAGGGCGTGTGTGCAGTATCATTCGTTATCGCACTTCTGGTCATCGATACCGACCTACCTTCGACGGAAGAAGACCAACGTATTGATTGGATTGGGGTATTCCTCGTCACTACTGGTCTCGTACTCATCGTCTTTGTTCTCTCAGAAGGAGAGGTGGCCCCTCAACAGTGGAAGACACCATGTACGTTTCCCTTATCTATAAGTTGTCTTCGATTGGCTGAGAGCCTGTGGACAAGATATCATCGCGCTTCTCATAGTCGGTGTAATATTCGTTGCAGCATTCCTGTATTGGCAGAACTATCTGGAGAAGCAACTGGATGACCCTTTAGTCCCCAAATCGAAGTGGAACCCTCCGCCTCTAATGCGCCTGTCGCTGTGGACGAGAGCGAAGGGACGCGTGGCAGTTATGATGACTGTCGCATTTTTGCAGTGGTGCTGCTTTTTGGGATGGTGTTATTGGTCACAGGTATGTGCGTCTTGCACATTCGTAATCCTTGTTCTGAGAGCAACGAACCGTAGCTGTACTATCAAAATTACGAAGGATTTACTCCTCTTCTTACCGTGATCCGATTACTCCCGATGACCGTATCTGGAATTGTGTGCAATATGATTGTAGCAGCTCTGGTGGGACATCTACCACTTGTCTATTTTATAGGTACGCTTCATCGTAAAGCCGCTTGTACTAAACTCATCGACGTTACAGCATGCGGAACTGCTTTATCAGGCGTCGCTGCCCTCCTCTTCGCACTGATAAACCCAAACGCAACATACTGGGCATTCGGGTTCCCTGGAGCCGTACTCGCAGTCGTGGGGGCTGACTTTGTATTCGCGGGTGGAACTCTGTTCATCGCCAAGGTGTCGTTGCCCCATGAACAGAGTCTTGCAGGAGCAGTATTTCAAACAATGACACAGGTAGTCTCTTCCATTCTGGAAGGACAACGCAGCTAATTGGCTAATAGCTCGGTACATCTGTCGGCGTGACGGTATCGACTGTTGTTTTTGATCGCGTATTACGCCAGCGTTCGGCGGATATGGGGGTAATCCTAGATGTAAACGCAGCTGGTGCGCCCAGAGAGGCTCAGTTGGATAGCTATAAAGCGGCGGAATGGACTAATTTTGCGTTTGGCATGTTGGGTATGTTATTTAGACTTATGCGTTCCTCACACTACTAATCTCGCATTCTCTAGCTACCCTTCTGGCGCTAATTTTCTTCCGCGGTGTCGGTATTGTGGGGCAGAGCGGCAAAGAGACTGATGATCAAGAACGGACAGTCATCAATCCGGAGGAGAAGATCGCTTCGCGAGAGTAGAAAATGCGCCAACCTACGATACATGTCATATTACCTTTGTGGTTTGGTGCGTGGATACCTATCTTTCTGGGCGTATAAACTTCGTAGACCACTTGTACACTTTTATCAATAGATGTTTTCCACACAGGGTAATGTTGTTTGTCCGACCGGTCGCTCGGGCCGGTTAGACCGACTTGACGTTGTGTTCATGCATGTCCCTTACACCAAGTGTTGCTCGCTCCCTCTGACAATGAATCCTTCAGAAAATTCGAGATAATCTAAGGCAGCGACGTGGATTCTGGAGGCCTCGGTCCCCGCAAAGCTCCCGCCAAGGTTTGACCGGCAAATTAGCTGTCGTTGGCCATCAAATACGCAGTGGACTATGGCTGGACACAATAGCTAGGCTTCAGAGGATCCTGGTCCGCTGCGACTTTGTTTAGTAGGCCTGCGAGCTACCAAATAAACCTAGGTTTGCACAGAATTTGGTTACAACTTGTAGTGTCTTGACGAATTTTCAGTCAGGGGTCAACATTCCATTTCCTGTGCTGGAACTATGTCTCTCTTGCGTTTTATTGCAGGTTTTGACACTGGGAAATACCATGCATAGATATTAATTTCAAAAGGCAAAGAAGTGTCTAAGGCTCTCTGGTAGTGTATCGGTTAGTATACGCGCCTGTCATTACGCTCGTATTTACCTACGCGCGAAAGCTGGGTTCGACTCCCAGCCAGAGAGTTGGAATTTCAAGACATCGAAACATATTTTCTTTCTTTACAGTAAGTTACTTTTATCATTTATGTTAGAACTTGGAATTCGAAAAGTTCCACGAATCCGCCAGGTACCTTCCTAGGAGTCCCGACGCTTGATTAAGACACTAATAAATTCAACTCTCCCGCTACTTCTTGCGAGCACTGTATAGCCTCGTTGTAAAGAAAAGACTCGGAAAATACCTTTTCTTTGAATGTCGACCTCCCACGATCCATGTAAGTGAAACTTCTTAACTGAGAAGAGACCCGATCTCATATAATTATTTGGATATTTCAACAAAACAACTGGTATCTAACATAAATGATTCAAAGCAAAGAAAACGAAGGACTTATCTAATATGCAAGCGAATCCGCAACGTAGCGTTCATATAGTCATTCGCCGCCCTCCACCTTGATCATACCCATGCCTCCATCGTCACTCTCATCACCCCTCACCCGCTTCGACCCCCCAAGCGGTTCCAGAACCTGGCTAGGGAGGCGCTTAAAATTCGGTCTTTCCCCCTCGCCCATCGCTCCCGCGAGAGAGAAGCCATACGCGAAACTGTGGTTTACCGGCTGGCGGTGCGGCGGCGGTGGAGGAATCGACGTCGACAACGACGGGGGACTGATGTGCGTCATTCGCCGGCCCTTGATCCCTTGGACTCCTCCCATGCTCAGATTTCCGAGCGTTTTCCGAGCCATCACCGCGTCCTCAAATCCTCCCTTCCCTTCGCCCCCACCGACGACATTCTCCGTTGGCGTCTTCACGCTCGGCAAACTCGATACACGCTTCCTGCCGTTCGGTGGGCTCATTACCGGATGCGGCGGTGATGCCGAGTGAGCGTGGTTAGCTGGATGATTTAAGGGTGTGCTGCGCATGTACTCCTTCCAAAACTCACGGAGTTCCCTAGTCTCCGCTTCGCGAGGAGTTGGAATCTGCATCATGCTGGCTACCGGCACATGATTGCATGTAGACGTCGGTTGCCCCGATGACGATGGGAAAATGCCATCAAAGAAAGGAGCAGCCCCATCATAGAGGGCATTGGGCTCCTCAAGGCTCATCAGTCCGAACGCTTCCAGGCGTGCATCTGCCGCTGCCGCCGCTGTTGAAGGATCAATGTTCTCGTAAAGGGGTAAGTGAACGCTGCTACTTGCGGCGCTACTACCTCCACTCTCTGAAAGAGAATCTCTTCTCGCCCAGCCACCGCCTCCGCCATAAATATGGTTTGAATGGTGGTCGGAGTGTGAGCCATGGTTATGATGATGCTCCAGCGAATGTGCTCTCGCGAGATCTGAGCCTCCAGCATTGAGGATATCGTGCGCAGGCTCGCCGTAGTTCATCCATGTCGGAGTTGGTTGATACATTTCTGGGCTAGGCTGCTGCGTCTGCATGAGCTCGCGGTACTTGGACTGGTAGTCGTCGAGGTTCGGTGGATACATTTGTGGTGGTGGGAAAGAAAATTGCTGCTGACTTGGGAAAGATACGGACACGGCTGGAGGAAGATAAGATCGCTGCGCGGTGGCTGGTATGTGAGCTGAAGGATTGGGATTATGACCTGGGCCAACCGGCGCTGTCTGTCGGTGAAACTTGACGAATGTACAACGACATTTACGTTGTACGCATTTGGCTACGGCGATATTAATCAGCACAAGTTTGGAATTGAGGTAAGCCTGGCAGGTGACAATTTGGCGCCCACCAAAATGCAAGGGAAATGAGTGAAATAGAGATGAAAATTTGGCGCATTATTTTGACCATAACAAAATGCTTCGATTGAATGGAATCTCGACGGATTTTGTTGTGGTCAAAATTCTGTATCAAAGTTTAACACGGTATCCACTCATTTTCGGTGGTTTTGCTTGGTCCGAAATACTCGCTCACCAGGAGTGTAGACTAGCAGTCTGCCGATGGCGTAGACTTGACAGTTTCATGATGAGTACCTCATAGAGGGTCGGCTCAAATGAAGTGCCAAGCCGGCCAACGGCGTCGAAGCTAGCCACGACAGAATTAATGAAAAGAAAACTCACAGCACGGGTTACACCCATCACAGGGCAGACTACTCTGCACGCATTGGTCGCATGCTTGCTTGCTGGTTGTAGCACGCGTAGCCGAGGCTTTCCGTCTGCCGTTGCCCTTCTCGTTGGTCGTCGTCGACGCGGAAGCGTGGCATTTGTTGATGTGTCGTGAGAGGAGGTCGCTAGGAAACCTGTCAGCGAGTAATCACGGAAAAGTGAAGGAAATGAACCCGTACCTCCGAGCAAACTGGTCGCCGCAATGCGTACATTTGTACGGTCGGTCGCCGGTATCTGAGTAAATCAGAATTCCATGCGTCGAAGATGTGGAGAGTCGGCGGAGAGAGAGCATCGTGGAGAAAGTATCGGGTAGGATAATGAGCACCACAAAGTCAAACAAAGTGGAGCTGAAAGGACTCACGCGAACGCATATGGCGCGCGACGTGCTGCGGTCTGGTGAACGTCGCTTGGCAAACGGGGCATTTGTGGTCTCCGCCCATTTTCGCTGGATTTCTGGACTTGGATGGCTGTAATTTCGAGTACGGTGTAAGTACGAATGCAAGAGAAATACGTGGAGTTGAGTATGATGTAGGCGGTGTGGAGTAAAGGGTGATGGGGGATGATGGATAAGAAAGGAAAATTCAAATTGGCCTGTTTTTTGCCCGGTCGTGAGGGGTCTACGTCATTGTCCCACGGGGTGACGTCATGGATCGACTCAATTTCCTTTTCTCCTTTTTCGCTCGAATTCCGCACGCTTTGGGAAATTAGAGAGATAGGGAATACAGAAGTGCTTTCTAGAAGCGTAGAACAGCACTGCGTGACAGGCGGACTGCTCAAGAGCGAGTCTAAACGAGTCCCTGATGTCATCTAACAAAAAGAAGCGTCGGTACTGACGTCATATTGACATGAGGTAATGAAATTTTAATTTATGGGGAAGGGTAATGTTGAATGATGACGCGCGGCGTTCGTTGTGTGTGTGAATATTGAAGCTGAAGGCGAGAATGGCAGGCATTGCGGCAGGAATACAATGGCGAGAGACAACCCTGCCTAAATAGTAGCATAGGAGTGAAAGGGGTCACACGACGGAAGTATAGTATGCTACTTTCCGGCCCGGTTAAAATAAGCTCGTGCTTGAATCAGATCCTCCTATCGTTCGTCCCAATCTCATCAAAACATGCGGATAGTGCGAGTAAAGAAAAATGAGAAGAGAACATAGCATTGGACAGATAATAAAAGACTTTGGACCCGTGTCCAGTTTACGGGAGTAAATGACATCAACGAAACACGAACGGGTGCGGTACCGAGATATTCGAGGGTCCATAGCTGAGGACTGCGTTTAGGACGTTTGATATCAATCAGTATATCATGAGGAAAATCCGAGAAAATCACATCGACCCTTGGGTACACACATCGGTTTGAAGACCGAAGGCCATCGTGTGATACGTCCGTGTCAGGGATGGGATGACAATGTTCCAAGATAACACCGAGTTAACCGTTAACGAAGATTGCTATACAAATCGCAAGCCCTCAATATTTTAACGGAGTGATCCTGAAAGACTTGGACGGGTGCTAAAGAAAAAAGTAACAGAATGGTCCAGATCCTGAGATTAGGCTCACCAGATACAGGGAGGCGGTAAGGGCGGTAAAGGACACATGTTGCCGCCACCGCGTATCAAAAGGACATGACAACATACGGCTCAAACTCCGCTACCGTAACTGATATAGTGTAAAACTTGAGGGCAACGTCTCTGGAGTAAGAACACAAATGAAGAACATCTGCCTAGCAGAAAAAGAAATGAAGCAACTGAGCAGATCCTCCTGCGAAGGTTACGTCCGGGAAGCGTAAAACGTGCAAGTTAATTACGGACACGGTAAAACGGTTAACGTCGGGAAAGCACCGGAATAATCACCAGACGCGTTTCCATCCAGGGAAAGCACAAAAGATGAAAGCGATTAGACCAAACCAAGGTGTCGAATATAGAAGAAATTATTTCCAGGAATAAGCGGATGATTGAATTATGTAGTGTAGCCACGCTATTTTGGAAGGGGGAGTCAGAAGCTAAGGCTCGTAGAAATCCAGTCAAGGATCAGTCAACAACGTCCGCTACAAGATCAGTCAAAGAGGTTCGAAAACTAGAAAACAAGGCAGGAGAGTTTACTCAGATCCATATGAATAGTTTCGTCGGTAATGGGGGGCGGGATGGGGATGGTAAGCAGCATGGTGGTAGTTGTATCTCAAGTTCCATAGTTTAGTTGCCGGCTAAGTCACCGATACTACGGTCAGATACGGCCGATCTTTGCCGATCGCCCCTCCCCCTCAGACCGATGCAAATTACATGCAGATGCAAGATAATGGCAATATGATAATGTTGCTCCCTATTGAGACTGCTGCGAACAGCGGGAAGGACTGGGTGTAGAGAGCATGCACGGTGACTAATCACGCGGTGTCGCTCTAGGTTTATCGCTCACCACCGACACTACTGCCTTGTTATTCTTATCTTTGACCGTTCTCCTTGCACATTGATTGTATAGGAAATTTGGAACATACACAACTCTCGTGCTTCATGCATCATGAGTAGAGCCGAACGTTCCGCTCGAGCCTGGGGAGTTCCGAGTCGGAATTTGGGTGTTAAACTTGAATTGTTGTTTGCCCTCCACCGAACGAGTCACGAGCTGTACCCTTGCAAATGGACATTGGATTCCCGACTCTGGAGGATATTCTACCGTACATGATTGTAGCAGAACTGTAGCTACCTGAGTCTATTTTAAGAAGTTCGCCAATGCTGGGAATCGAACCCAACTACGAGAGCTACTCGTACAGGAGACCACTGCACCATCGAGATACCTAAAATTACTACAAGAAAGGTAAAGATAAGGTAACAAGAATCACAGCCGCAAACGTACATTGGTATTTCACGCCCTTCAATTCAATCAAACCAAGGCCTCCCGGACCACTTTTGATTTGCATACATCGATCTC